GCAGACTGCTGAATTCTAGTTGTGTCCTCATAGAGGGGAAGGGGAGAGGGAGCTCTCTGGGGTCTCTTTTATTAGGGCCCTAATTTCATTCATGAGTGCTCCACCCTCATGACCTAATCATCTCCTAAATGCCCCTCATCCAAATATCATCACATTGGGAATTAGGTTTCAACATATAAATTTTAGAAAAACATTCAGTCTATAGCAATACAGATACCAATAAGAAGGAATTTTCATTTACGTCCTTCACTTTAAAATCAAGGAAGTAGCCCTGGCTGGTTTGGCTCAGCTGTTAGAGCATCAGCTTGCGGACCAAAGAGTCATGGGTTTGATTCTGCTCAAGGGCATGTACCTCTGTTGCAGTTTGGTCCCCTGCCCTGGTCGGGGTTATGTGGGAGGCAACCAATCAATGTTTCTCTCCCCCCCAACCCTTTCTCTCTCTCTCTTTCCTTCCCCCTTCCACTCTATCTGAATATAAAATAGAAAAATATACTTGGGTGAGGATTAAAAATATAAATAAATAAAATAAAATAAAGGAAGTATTAAGTAACAATAACTCATTATCTACACATTTTTCTCAGCCCTTAGATATGAAGCTTCTCTCCTTCCTGGTTTCTAAGATCTGGACAGAGTCAGAGAAGCCCCCTCTCTTAGGAAGGGGAATAATAAGTGGCTTATTAACAGTTTAGCTCCATGGACTTGTCCTGGTGATTTTCTGCAAGATTTTCTTTCTCCAGATTTTCTAGTTTCCAAGACCTTCCACTCATTAAGCTATTACAATGGATTTTGTATTTCAAAAACCTCTACAGATTAAGAGACAAAGCATGAAGGGCTTAAAGCATAGTTTGTACCTTAAACCATACTTTGGGGAAGAATTCATAATGGTGGAAGAGCTTAGACGTTGAGAAGGGCTGAGTCATGGAGCATAGAACATTCTAAGGAAACATGTAGGACAGACACAAAGTTCCCCCTCTGAACAGGGAGGTGTGGGAGACATTGGCTGTGTTTGGCTGCTCAGCATGTGGACAAAGCTCTCTTTGAGTACAGAAGATCCGTATCTAACTATGGACACTGAAGGGGTGCCGACATTCCTCTGTTCTCTTTCTAGTGTGAAGGAGGCATGAGCCCCAGGCTCAGCCAAACAGATGCTCCTGTCCCAGAATCTGAATCTGGAAGAGTTGACCCAGAGGTGTAGAAGGGAGTCAACACTTCACTTGCACGCTATTTTATTTTATTTCATTTCATTATTATTATTTTTTGGTACGTGCCCCTAGTAGGGGCAAAACCCGGGACTCTGGTTCACAGACCGACACCCCAACCGCTGAGCCAAACCGGCCAGGGCCACTTGCAGGCCATTTTAAATAGTAAAATCACCAACGCAAAAAGACAAAAATGCAAAAGCATGACACTAAATAGTCCATGAAAAGGTCTTTTGTTTACACAGTATGAGAGCTGAAGAGTGTTTCCTTTTCAACCTCACCTGGAAAAGTGTGTTGAACAAAAATTTTTCACTGCTCTGCACATGTCCTTGAATGACTGTCAAAGCATTGAAAGTATTGATTTTAGGGTTACAAATAAATTTAAGCAAGTAGGCGAACTCATAAATACAGAAACTATAAATAATGAGGATTGACTGTATTGATAAACCTCTAGAAGACACAAATTAGCAATATCAGATCAGATAAAGGGGCACTACCACACATCATACAGACAGTAAAAGACAACAAAATACTAGCAACAACTTTATGTCTATAAATCCCACCACACTTAGATAAATGAAATGTACTTATTATTATTATTATTATTATTATTATTATTTTTAATCCTCACCTGAGGACATTTTTCCATTTTTTGTTCAGATAGAGCAGGGGGGGGGGGAGGAAAAGAGAGAAAGCGAAACATCGATGTGAAAGGGACACATCGAGTGGCTGCCACCCGCACGACCAACTAGGGCCAGGGACAAACTGCAACTGAGGTACGTGCCCTTAGTGAGAACCGAACCCCGGTCTCTCTGTACTGCAGGCGGACACTCCAACCGCTGAACCAAACCGGCCAGGGCTGGACTAATTATTTTTAAGATACAAGTTACCAAAGCTCATTCAAGAAGAAATAGATAATGTAAATGGTTCTATATCTATTAATAAAGCTGAATTTGTTATTTAAAAGTCCCTATCCTCCCCAAAAAACAAAAACACCTCCATGCCTAGATGGCTTCATTAATAATTTGTAGCAAATGTTTATGGAAGAAATAATACTAATTCTGTACAAACTCTTCCAGAAAATAGAAGAAAGAACCCTCATCAACTTCTTTTATAAGGTCAACATTGCCCTGATTTCTAAATCTGAAAAAGACATTACAAGAATAGAAAACTAAACAAAGAGCAACATCTCTAAAAACATAACTAAGAGAGATTAAAGAAGATATAATAAAAAGATACACTATGCTGATTCATCAGCAAGCTCAATATTAGAAAGAGATCAGTTCTCCCCAAGTTTATCTATAAATTTAAGGCAATACCAATCAAAATCCCAGCAGGCTTTTTGTCTGTTTGTCTTACAATAACTGACAACCTGATTCTAAAATTTATATGAAAATGTAAAGGACCTAAAATAGATAAAACAACTTTGAAAAGAAAAAAACAAGTAGAATTTACACTACATAATTTTAAGACTTATATATAGCTGGAGTGATCTAGACAGTGTGGTATTAGTGTAATATATAGTTATAGAGATAGAGACAGAGATAGAGATAGAGATAGAGATAGAGATAGATAGAGATAGAGATATAGAGATATATATCAATGAAATAGAACAGAGAGCCACATATATCTGGCCAATTGGAAAAGAATGATCTTTACAAGAAATGGCACTGGAGCAATTGGATAGTCATATGCCAAACAAGAAAGAGAGAATTACAACTCTGGCTTCATACCACTCTCCATAATCAAAATGAATGTAGGAGCCAGAACTAAATGTAAAAGGTTAAAACTGTAAAACTTCTAGAAGAAAACAAACTTTTCATGATCTTAGAATAGGTAAAGAGCTCTTAAAATAGAACAAAAAGAAGTGATAATTTGGGTCAAACATTCTTTATGACTGACCTTTGTTGCCATTTCTCTTGTTTCTGTCTGCTGCCTGGGCACCAGCTATGACCAGCTTGCCAGTGACTCCCCATCCAACCAGCCCAAAGCCCTTGCTGGGGGCAATTTTGGCACTACCCTAACTCTATTCAGCCAACTGTCCCTTCCATGTGCCTGCTGCTAAGGCCAACTCTTAGGTCTACAGACTCCAAGGATGCCACTAAATTCAGATTTTGTCCCCCACCCACTCTCAGGCCCTCTCTAGCCTCAGCCTTCACCTCTGTACAAGGAGATGTAAGTGATGATCCTTTGATGGGCTTCCCTCTGTGTGCAGTGAGTGGCTCCCCTGTGCTCAACTGTCTCCACCTCACGGTCTCAAAGTTTTGGTTAAGATGGAAACAGAATCCATGGATTCTGGAGATGATATGAAATTCTGCCATCTCTCCCAGCCTGCCGGGGGTGGGCGCAACACAATGAACTACAAACAGATAGTGCTTGGAGCGAGAGGGAGCATCACAAGGGAGCAAATGCCCCAGATCTCTGGATGCAGCCCAATTTATTTGCAAAGTGGTTCCCCAGGTTACATGGTGTTTTAGGTAATTAAGTCCTTGAGATGGCATCTCTGCTGACCATATAGCGAAGCCCCGTCTCTCTCGTCTCTCCCTTTTTTCACTGGAGAGACATCAAAGGAGATACACACACACACACACACACACACACAACCCATTCACACCTGGGCTTTCTTGCCCATTGTGTCTTTTGGAGTGGTGTTCCAACCTTTTGACATGCAAACCTTATCTATTCACATATACATAAACAATACACTCAGTTCAGACAGGGTGGAGTTCCTACCCATCAGACAAACCTTATCTATCGGGAGAATGCATATCTCAAGGTTACATTTTGTTCATCTACCAAACCCCCAACCCTACAGAATTCTTCCTACTGGGTTCATTTGGTCATGTCAATTGGGATTTGTTGGTAAAATGGGAAAGAGAATTGGATATAAGGTGTTAGATGCCCACCTACCACCAGAAGTCCCTTCTGATTCAGGATGGGCCATGCTTTCTAACACTCTAACACTAAATGTGCTAAAATCTAGTATTTGCCTGGTACAGTGTGAAGGAATAAACAGGGTAGTGCTCAGCCTTACTGTTGCCCTATAATCAGCAAGTCAGTTCAGTTCAGGGCCCACATATTGAAAGGTTTTTAAATTAGCTTCCTTAATTAGAACTTACTGAGCCCCTTCCCCAGAAAGGAGTTACTCTGGGGACTCACACTCAGACCATGCCTGCATGCTAGTGCCCTTCTCACAGGTGTGGGACCACAACTGAGACCAAGATTCCCGTGTCAGGTGTGTACTGACCACTGCCCCCTAGGTCAGGAAAGGTCGGGGCCTCCGGAAGTTGAGGGACAAAAAGGCCCTGAGGGATGGGTAGGACTTGAACGGGCAGAGATGAGCCAGCACTCCAACTCCAAACCGGATTCGCTCCAGAGGGTATGTCCCGGGAAAGGACGGACGTGCCCTTCGGAGCCCGGTGTCACCGGAGGAGGGAGGGCTGCAGAGTGTGGGAGGAGGCGAGGAGAGCTCCTTCAACGCCAAGGCCGCGAGCACCGCGGTCCTTGCAGCGCGTGGGTTGCTGAGGAGCTACAGGAACCTGCAGGGAGGCGCGGGGTTTCGAGTCCCGAGAGGGTACAGCGAGGGTCCTGGGCAGTCGCTAGGGTCCCTACGTGGGGCAAGTTCTCCGGAGCCGGTGGGGAGGCTCGCGGAGCGCCGGGCGCGCAGCGCCTCCTCCAGGCAGCCGGCGGGGTGGCCCCAGGCGCCTGGCCCGCAGCAGCCGCTGCCTTATAAGGCGGGGGCCGGGCCGCGCGGGGCGGGGCAGCGGCCGCGGCCCCTCCTGGGTACCCCAGCGGCGCGCGGCCCGGAGGCAGCGGGAGCCGAGCGTGCCGAGCCGGCCATGGGCAAGTCAGGTGAGACCGCGGGGCCGGCCGGGCCGGGTGCGGGATGGCTCGGGAGCCACGGGCTCCGGGATGCTGGCCGTCACCCTCCCGGGCGCGGGCTGGGTCTCCCGAGAGCGGGGCGGCCGCCTCCGCGCCGGAACGCGACTCCGGCTGCGACGCGGGACCCCGAGCGCGGGACGGAGCGGCGCGCGCGGCGAAGCGCCCCGAGGCGTCGCAGGGGCAGTTTCCGGGGCCGCCAGGAAGCCGGGGTGGCCGTCGGGCCGCCGGATAGAGGGAGGGAAGGGGAAACCGAGGGAGGGACCCCCTGTCCGCGAGCCAGAGATTGCGTCAGAGAGGGCTCAGGCGCTGATGGGATTAGTGCTCAGCCTCCGGCCCAGGCGTGGCTTTTGCTTTGTTTCGGGAGGACAGCGTTACAGTAGTTGGAAAAAGCCACCAAACTGACAGCATCCTTTACTGCAGAGCGGCGTGTTCCAACCAAAACTCCTAAGGAGAGCTCGAGCATCCTTCTGTCGCTGTGACTTAGTGCCCCCTCTGTGCCAGGCTGTGTGCCAGGTTGTCAGGCTCTGCCAGGGCCCAGACTCCCGCTTCCCCTTTTGCTCTGACCTGTTGGCTGCCCATTCTCACCACCGTGGCTGTCCCAGGTGAACTTTCTAAAATGCAGACCTTATCCTGTCCCTCCCCAACACCTTCCATCCCACTGTCTGCAGGCGAGAGAGGACACATTCTGCAGCTCTGAGGAGGGGTCCTTGGGAGTTGGGCACCACCCCTCCCCTCCACTCCTGAGGCAGGCAGGCTGGTCCCTTCTCCTGGGGTCCCTTTCACCACCACCACTAGCCCTCTCCCACTTTTCTGAGGTTGAAAATCTTCCCCATTCTTGTTAGACTCAACTTCCGGGCTGGGAGACCACCTCTATGTTCCCCTCCCCTAGAAAGATGGCAGGTCTCTTGGTTGCAGCCCTCCCAGCATCAGCTTGGGACACTACCCAGTCATAGACCTGTCCCCCATGGACACCTCACTCCTGGCAGCCAGGGGCCGTGACTGTCTCGCACGGTTACTGCCTCACAGCAAACCCTTCAGAACAGCTGTTGAACAGAGTTCAGAAGTCCTGCTTCACGCGAACCTTGGGTTGTCAACCTGAGGAAGGTGAAGCGGGGTTCCTTCTTCAATCTGTCCTCAAGATCCAGACTCATGAGGTCCCAGTGCTGGGAGTAAGTGGCTTTCCCTGGCACTGGTCTTAGCCTGCCTTACCTGTGCTGACAGATCTGGCTTTCAGCCCTGGCTGTGCTAATCACTTGCTGTGTGATCTTGAGCAAGGTTCTTTCCCTGTCTATACAATGAGAGTGGCCCATATGATCCCCAGGGTCCTTCGCAGTGTGGAAAGGTGACATAAGGAGTTGTGATGAAGCTAAAAGTCATGATGGTAGGTGGTGATGGGCAAGAGCATGGCAGATATGAGAGAAAATCCAAAAATTCTCTAAAGTCACATTTTAATCAGTTGTTTCCCCCCTAAGAAACAGTTCTTCTGAACTGCTAATATTCAGCTGTGTGCTCATTCTTCTATCCATTCATCCATCTATCCATCTCTCCTTTCCTTCCATCCATTCCACCATCTACCAGCTGTACCAAACTGTGGACTCATTGCTGTGGAGGGCATGGCCCCTGTCCTCAGGAGTGTTCATTTGGATCGTGAAGTGAATCAATGAATCAAATAATCTGGGGATGAGAGACAGGATCACATGGCTTCAGTAGGAGGTGGGAAGTGAGTCGAGCCGCAAGACAGGTGCAGGTGAAGAGCAGTGGGGGCTCAGGGCAAGGAGAGATCCTCTTGGCAAAGGGGCTTATTGAAGGCTCCTGGAGGAGGTGGTCAAATCCGAGAGTCTTGGGAATTTGGACTTCATCCCTGAGACCTGGGGTGCCATTGAAATATATTAATCTGTAGTAGGGCCAGAGTTGTGCCAGGGTGGAGGGTGGATCATATGGGGGGAGGAGGAGGTTGGGGGTCAAGAAGAAGTTGCTGCAGTTATTCAGGCAAGAGATGACAGAGGCATCTAAGGGATGGGAGAGGAGGAGAGGATGGGTTTTGGAGATGGTAACCTCAAGCCAACTTTGGTGACTTATGACAAGTGTCAAAGGTATGTTTGGGTGCTTGACTCTGCATCTTGCTGAAGATACAGAGTCAAGCAGGTCTCAAAGGAGGGGGACGGTGGCAGGAGGCAGGTTAGAGCTGGTTGGAGTAGGTGCCATCACCCCATCACCCCCCCACACACACACACACACACACATATATACACACACAACCAAGGACCTTCCAGAATGCTGGCCCAGGTCTCTCTCCCTTATAGCCATATTCATCTCTCCCAAAGACTGTGAGCCCCCAGAACAGTGTCTGGCTCCCCTAAGGGTCTCCGAGAGAGTGACTTTTCTGGGTAACCCAGGCCCAACCTTGAAGCTCCAGGTCACCAGCCCGAGGTCTGCGCTGCAGGGCCAGTAGCACTCACAGACGTGTAGCCATCTGTGGTTTCATAAAGACTGTTGTAAGGAGCCAGCCCCTGCCTCTTCTGTGCCTTAGTTTCCTCATCACTGCATATGAGCCAATCTCTCTTTTTTTTTTTTTTTATCCTCACCCGAGGACATTCTTCCACTTTTTGTACAGACAGAGTGGGAGGGAGAGAGAGGAAGAGAGAGAGAGGGAAACATCGACATGAAAGGGACACATCGAGTGGCCGCCACCCGCACGACCAACCAGGGCCGGGGACAAACTGCAACCGAGGTACGTGCCCTTAGCAGGAACCGAACCCTGGTCTCTCCGGACCGCAGGCGGACGCTCTAACCGTTGAGCCAAACCGGCCAGGGCTGAGCCAATCTCTTTTAATCTTAAACTTCAGATTTCCCCCAGAGCTGTTTGGGGTAGTAGGCATTTCCAAAAAACTTATTACGCAACTGACACAGCTTTAATTCCAGGAGACACTCAGCCCAGTGTTCAGAGACTTCCAGGTCCATCGCCCAGCCCTGGTCTTCTTGATGGACTTCAGTTTGCAGCAGTTGTGATGGGAGCAGAGAAAGACAATGACCTTGGGCTCAGTGGGAACCTCTTGTCCCTAATATAGTGATTACAAATTATTAGGCTCCTAATGCATGCCAGGCTTGGAGCTAGTTATTATCAATTGTGTAGATTTATAGAGGTTGTGTGCCATGCCCACACTCATACTTTGACCAGTAAGTAGACAATAGGGATTTGAACCCAGATCTCTGACTTCCCAGATGTGGGCTTCCCCTCTACCACTTGTCACCTGCTCCCTGCCTGCTTCTCAGCCTAGATCTGGCTCAGTAGGGACTTTTCCACACCCTCTAATTATCTCTAAGAATCTTAACATCCCTTCCACCCCCATCTGCCATCAGAACAGAAAGTATGTAGGGACCAGCTAGCTCAGGAATTTTCTTCTGAGCAGGGCCCTGACACCTCTGCAGGGTGAGGCTGTGTGGGCCACATCAGTCCCGGCTCTTCCATTTTCATCTGTTGATTTTATTGAAAAGAAAAAAGTTCAAAGAAAGTGTTTCCCCGCTTTGAAAACCACAGATGTCATCCTTCTCGCACAGATGGGGAAGTGGGGCCCAGAGGGGCAGGGATTTGCCCAGAGGGGCAGGGATTTGCCCAGTGCTTCAGGCAGCCTGAGTGGCCACAGGCAGGGCTGGAGAATGGACACTGGCTGCCCTGGCTCCTTCGGTCCCTAGGTTACTGTTATCTGTGTGCAAATGGTCAGCCTGGAGCATATGCTCCGAGACATCCTTGTTCCTGTGGGCAGTTGAGCAACTCTTAGCTTTGACCATCATTTTTGCTTAGGGAGAGGAGAGTATATGTAAAGTGGAAAGTATGTGAAATTTGGAGCAGAGGAGGGCTGTCCTTAGATCTGGCTCAAGAGTGGACTCGCTGTGTGAAATTGTGCAATTCACATGTCCTCCCAGACTACAGTTTCCTCATCCAGAAGAAGGCCCTCCTCATTTGCTCACTCATTCACTCAGCAAATATCTGAGCTAGGAGGTACTGAAAGAGGTCATCAAAGATCCATTTAAATACCAGAAGCCCCACCCCCGTGGAAATCAGGGGTGGGATCTGACAGGGCAGTATCTCCCAAAGCCGGAGGCTAAAGGATCTTGGCTCAATAGTAATAATATCATTATAATTGACATTGAATAACTGTTCACTATGTTCCAGAACTGTTCTAAAGCAATGGCATAGATTAATTCTTTTAATTCTTACAACAACGCTGTGAAGTAGATACTGTTATCCCCATTTTTCTATATGGGGGACATGAGGCATAGCGTGATTAAGCAACTTGTCCAGAATCACACGGCTAGTCAAGGACTGAGCTGGTGTCTGCCTCTTGAATTTCCTGGAACCCAGGCTGGAAGAACAGAAGCTGCTCTACTCTTTTCTCAGATTTTTATTCTTCCTGATAAACCAGTTTTGCCCCAAAGGTGGGACCAGGTCACTTTTCAGTGTAAAGAACAATATCCAACTGAATAAATTTGAAGCTCTAATTGGCTTTAATCAGCAATTCATGGCAGGCACAGCTTCAAGCAACTAGAAGGGCACTCGAAGGTTTTCATAGACAGGAAGAGGGCGAGACTGAGAAGTTAAAAGAGTGGATTATTTTAGACAGGGTCACCCTCCTTTAGACTTAGAGGGAAGCAGCAGGTCTTATCGGGCAGTTCGTCTCACTAGTGATCAGGAAATTCTTGACTGATTGGTTTAAAATTCCACTCCCGGGAGAGGCTGAAACTGCAATTGGGTTGGTTATTAAGTTTTGGATTGGTGAGGTGGCTTAGCAAAAGTGACTCCATTTTGGCCCTTTTTTTTTTTTTTTTTAAACCAACTTCTTGCCAAAAGGCAGAAGGAGTCCCTCCGCGATTCTGCCCTGGTCTCTTTGGTGGGGAGTGTGGAGAGAAATGAGTCAGGCTGGGCTCTCCCAGGCGGCCCTGAAGGGGACAGATGCTGAGGGAGGAGCCTGTCCTAGCCAACAGCCAGGTGGGAGGAGGGGCACAGACCGCCTTGGAGTCTTTATTTGGCATTTAGAAGCCTAGGCCCCAAAGGACCTTCAAGAGCCCCCAGTTTAGCCCCAGTTCAGATGCCTGTGCCCTCAGCAGAGATAGCTTAGCCCTGCTGCCTCCCCTCAGCCCCTCAGCCCTGCTGCCTCCCCTCAGCTCCTCAGCCCTGCTGCCTCCCCTCAGCCCCTCAGCCCTGCTGCCGCCCCTCAGCCCCTCAGCCCTGCTGCCTCCCCTCAGCCCCTCAGCCCTGCTGCCTCCCCTCAGCCCCTCAGCCCTGCTGCCTCCCCTCAGCTCCTCAGCCCTGCTGCCTCCCCTCAGCCCCTCAGCCCTGCTGCCTCCCCTCAGCTCCTCAGCCCTGCTGCCTCCCCTCAGCCCTGCTGCCTCCCCTTCAGCCCCTCAGCCCTGCTGCCTCCCCTCAGCCCCTCAGCCCTGCTGCCTCCCCTCAGCCCCTCAGCCCTGCTGCCTCCCCTCAGCCCCGCTGCCTTCCTTCAGCCCCTCAGCCCTGCTGCCTCCCCTCAGCCCCTCAGCCCTGCTGCCTCCCCTCAGCCCCTCAGCCCCTCAGCCCTGCTGCCTTCCTTCAGCCCCTCAGCCCCTCAGCCCTGCTGCCTCCCCTCAGCCCCTCAGCCCAGGGAGCCACACCCAGACAGCTCCTTCCACCTGTTAACTGCACTAACCTGAGCCCCAAACCTGCCCCTGGAGGTTCTATTCCTTCAGCCCCTGATTTTCCTGTGGGGCCCCTAAGGCAGGTCTGAAAACTCAGTTCTTTTCTCCTCTTTCCTCTTCCTTCTTCCTCTTCTCTCCTCTCAGAGATCTGAAGGCAGTTGCCAACCTCACTGGGCCTGACCCTCCTCCTAGGTCTGGTCAACCCCTCTGTCTCTTCTCTGTGACTTCCTTTGACTGGCAACCCTTGGGGGTGGCATGGGGTTAAGGACAGTTTACCCCTGAGCCAGTGTGGGAATGTGAGCAGGTTACTTCCCTTCCTGAGCCTCAGTTTCCTCATTGTAAGAAATGGATACAGTAGTAGAAGCTCCCACAAAAGGTGGCGAGAAGTAAATGAGATCACGCACAGGCCAGCGCCGGCAGGGCTGGCCAACCTGCAGAGGAAAGACCTCCCTCGCTCCAGGCTGGCACCCTGAGCCGCCCTCCTGAGGAATAACCCCTCTCTCCCCCTTGTGGGCTGGCTGTGAAGGCTCTCCCCGCCAAATGCAGGGCTGGGGGTTTTCTTTGACTTTTTTTCCCCTTATGTTTATCTTTGTCTTTGGGTTTTTCTATAGAAGTGGGGTGTGCCTCCTGCTGGATGCGGTCACCAGTGATATCTTGTCTCCCAGAGGCTGAGGCCCTGCTGTGAGGAGCCACCTGGGCTGGGACTGGCTGCTGTGGTGGGAGGGGACTCCTGGGGCCAGGCAGAAGTGTGGTGGCAGCACACACACACACACACACACACACACACACACACACACACACCCACCCATGCCTCGCAGCAGGGTTGAGAAGAAAGGGCTCCCCTCCTGGTTACCAAAAAGTTCTCCTGACCCCCTCCTAGGAACTGTAGCCCAGGGAACTGGCCCTGCTGGGGACAATGACTGGCTTTGGCTTCTGGGCACCAAACTTAGGTTGAGCATAGGAACTTTCACTTTTGTTTCTCTTAACTTCATATTCTGGGAGTGCGGTGACCTAGTTTTTAGCAGCTTTATAAATGTCCCTCTCTGCCAAGGAGACTGCAGGGCCTCCAGCCCTACGGGCCCAGTGCAACCTGGCCCAGCACTCAGGTGCCTGAAAATGGTCTTCGCCTTAGCTACGCACCTATCCCCTTTATCTTCACCTTCCCTTGCCGCCCTGGGATACACTGGATCCTGTCCACCCTCCCCCTTTCTGTGCACTTTGCCTTCTCACCACCTACCTCCTCCAGGGAGCCTTCCCTGATACACCGTGGTCACCACTGCCCATGCCACGCAGTCCCACTCATCTCCAGTGGTGCCTCACCATGCTTGCCTGGGACATAGGAGCTGGAAGGGACATTAGTATGGGCCTCCCCATGTCTTCCTGTCAACCAAAACATCCGACACCCTGGCACCATCCCCTGCCCCCCAGATCCCTGTCCTGCCCACATTAGTGTAACTGGACCTCACTGAACTGCCTTGCTGGGCCCCACAGTCCTCAGGGTTGGTACCACTCATTCTTCAGCTTATCAAAAACCCCTTGGATAGCTCAACCACATGACTGGCAGTTACCTTTGTGTCCCCTGGGTTGGCATCTAGCCCAAAGCTCCTGAGGGCACGTTCTAGTGTTCTTCCTCTCAGGTCCCTTCAGAGGCCTAGTGGGATTTGACTCGAAGACCCAGGAGACATGGTGGGTTTGGCTGAGAGGGGACGAGGATTCCCTGCTGGCTCACCTGCTCAGCCTCTGGGGTGAAAAGACAGCAGAGAAGAACAGCTGGTGACTGTGACCTGGGGCACTGGAAGGAATCGGTGCTTCTCCAGTTTACACCCTTCCGGCCAGGCCTTGGGGACAGGCTCCTGCTGGATGGAACCAGCTCAGTTTAAGGGTTCTCTAGCCCTCCCTCCTACTCACCCAACTCCCCCCTTTCCACAGAGGGACACTCCCAGCTTCCCAAGGCTGTCGCTGATGCCTTCACAGTCTAAGCCTAGCCCTGGTCAGTTTGGCTCAGTGGTTGAACGTCAGCCTGCGGACCAGAGAGTCCCGGGTTTGGCTCCCGCTAGGGGCACGTGCCACCAAAAAAAACAAACAAACAAACAAACAAACAGAAAACTATTCACAGTCTAAGCCTGGCTTGCTGCTGTCCTGACATCTTTGGGGTCTCATGTCGAGGGGCACCTCCTTTCTGATTCCCTAGACCATGTTAGGTTGCCTTTCAAGTTCCCCTTGCACCTGTGCTGAGCACCTTGGCCCCAGCACACTGTCCACAGTGTCTGTTTACAGGCTGGCTTCCTTCTCTGTCTGAGACCTTTGAGGACAGGGCGTGGCTGACCTGTCTCCGGGCACCTAGCACACAGCGTGGGACCCAGCAAGAAGAGGTGCTCAGAGAGCACATGATCAGATGGCTGAATTGGGAGAGGGTGGATGATGCTGCTGGATAGAGGACAAATCAACAGATGGATGAATGAATGGTGGAGAGATGGGTGGAGGATGTTGGATGGATGGGGTTCCATTTCAGTCCAAATTGATGTCACTTCTGTCCACTATTGACTGTGCCTGACCTTAGCTTCACCACTTATTCTCTCCCTAGCCCCAGCCCCCTTGCCCTTGCCCTTTCTAAGATCATGACCCACTGGGCACAGGCTCTACCTCATCCCTCAGTGCAACTCTGAGCCCAACACCACCACCATCTTTTCCACTCTCTCCCCTCATTCCACTTCCCCAGTGCGTCCTTCCCTGGTCCTCGTTTCTTCACCTGTCTCTCTGCCTTCTTGATTTCACTAGCCCGATGTGGGCACCCCTCCACGCCCGCCAGGCTTGTCCTCTGAGCGCCACCTCCAGTCCTTTCCAGTCCCCACCACACACCATAGGTCCCGGCTGAGATATCCAATCAGAAGTCCCATTGCTCACCCCCGCCCAAACATCTGCTCTGCACCCCTGGCCCGACCTCCTCTCCACAGCCAGCAGGAACTTTCAGAAACACCAGTCTCACCAGCTTACTCCTCTGCTCCCAGTCAGTTGCTTCCTGTTGCTTTGGATAAAGAGATAAAGACCCAAATCTCCCACGAGGCCCAGATGGCCCTGCATAGCCCATGGGGTGCAGCTGGGCAGAGGGCAGAGGGCAGCATCAGGGACAGAGACAGGACGAGCAGAGGCGTGGGGCAGGGCGTCACAGTGGTCCATTTGGCTCCGGTACTGAAGGGGCGCCTGACCATTTGGCCTGAGGTGTGAACCGGGCACTACTCCAAAGCCTGCCATCAATCATACTTTTGGTGGGTCTCTTCCCTGCACTGAAACATTCTCCATTTTGAAATCATTGCAGCTTCCAAACAGTTTAATAATGAGGTCCTGAAGGCCCACAACGAGTACCGGCAGCAGCATGGCGTCCCCCCGCTGAAGCTCTGCAAGAAGCTCAACCAGGAGGCTCAGCAGTGAGTCCCCCAGCACCCCGGGGTGACGGGCCCTTCTCAGTGCTGCTGCTGCAGTCAGAGGGGCCTTAGGGTGGCTAAAGGGACATGAACTTTGGGGGCAGATACAGCCAGGCTTGAAGAACCACTCTGCCACTCACCTAGGCAGGTGCCTTTGTTCCTGAGCCTCAGTTTGCTCCTCTGCAAAGTAGGGTGTTTGGGGGTTTCAGAAAAGATGCAGGTGTGATGCTCCCGGTTTCCTCCGTGAGGCCAGGGAAGGAAGTGTGGCCGCACCCCTTTAGGGCTCACACTTTGGGGCTTCCCTGGGCTCTGAGGAAAAACCCTGGTCTCTGGCAGGTATTCCGAGGCCCTGGCCAGCACGAGGATCCTCAAGCACAGCCCGGAGTCCAGTCGCGGCCAGTGCGGAGAGAACCTGGCCTGGGCATCCTACGATCAGACAGGTGGGTCGCTTTCTCAGCTCCCGACTTCTCTGACTTCTGCCTGAGCCTCGGCCGCCAGCGTCCAAGCCTCTCCTGGGCCCCAGCACCCTCCGTGGTGTAGCTGAGCGGCAGCCACAGGCCCAGAGCTCGGCCTGCCCCGGGGGCTGACTGCAGCGCAGCACAGGTTCTCTGCCGGCCGGCCGGGGACACAGAGATGAGTCAGACTGCCCGGAAGAGCTCCCAGCTGGGGAGGAGCGTGGGGACCAGACCATCTCTGTGTAGCCTCAGCCTGACCCTGCCGGCACCCATGCATCCCCAGCTACAGAAGAACTTGGTTTTTGTCACATTTTTCTAAATTTTTTATGGTGGTGCTATATTAATTTTTTCATCAGAAAAGTGCAATAGAGTTTTTTCCATGGGAAAACAATGAAAATAATGGGAAAGACAACTCCTCATCTGAGGTCTCAGCCCAGAATGGCAGTCCCGCCACCCCGACCAGACATCCTGAGCTTCCTGGCTCTGACAGCCCTGTCGTGGCTTTTCAGGAAAAATGTTGGAGCGTGCTGGAATGACTCCTCCTCCTCGGCCTCACATCCTGGGAGTTCCTGGTGGGGGGGGGGTCCTCTGGTTTCCCAGCTCTGTGGCCCTCCAGGAGAAGTGTGCGCATGCTCCCGGGGAAGGCAGGAGTCCACAGCCTGCAGCCGCCTCCCCAGGCCTGGTTTAGGGCCTGTTGGGCCCAGGGAAAGAGGGACAGGGATGGGAAAAGCCAGTAGGAGACATGGTTCCATCTCGGCCTTGCGCTGGCTCCCTATGGAGCGCTGAGCAAGTCCCTACCTCTCTGGCCCCCGTTTTCCCATCTCTGCAGAGAAGGGGTTGGGTAAGTGGTCTCTAAGGCAGTAGTTCTCCACATTGGCTGCACAATGGGATCTTTTGTGGTGCTTTTTAAAAATATCAGTGCCTGGTCTCCTCCAGAGGTACCTATGCAATCAGTTTGTGGCAGGCCCGGGCGTCAGCAATTTTTAAATGCTCCCCAAACGGGGCCGGTGTGTAGCCACTGCCCTCAGAGGCCTTGCCACTCCAAGTGTGGTCCACGGACCTGCAGCGGCATCTGGGAACTTGTTAGAGATGCAGACTCAAAGGCTCACCCTAGATCTACTGAAATCAGAATCTGCATTTTAGTAAGAGCCCCAGGTGATTCGTGCACTCAGTAAAGTGTGAGATGCTGCTCTGAGCTCGAAGTCTGCTCTGAGCTCTGACCCTGCGACCAGCAGCATCCGAGGAAATGCGGTGCGTTTCCTCCTGTCAACACTTCTGGGTCAGTAGATGCTCCAAGGGAGGACCCTTCTGCCTACAGCGGAGACCCAGGCCCCACCAGCCCAATTGCCTTTCCTCTTGTGGATATTTCAGGAGCCAGACTTGGGGTGGGATGAGGGCAGAGTCTCTGGAAAACTTGGAGCATCATTAGAAGTCTTTGAAGTACAATTGCATTTAACCCTCTTGTTCAGAGCCCCAGCGAAGGGAAGGCCTTGCCTAGGATTTCACAGTGAGTTAGTGGCAGGGACACAAATACAGGTGACCCCAGGCCAGGGCTCTTCCCAACCCCCAACAAGGCCATCTCGTCAGCCCAGCTATGTCCATGGGCAGAAGTCTCTGTTTCAGCTCACTGGTGCTTCATCAGACTTCTAATTGTGGGATCGGTGGTTTGGGGTTAATGGGAGAAGATGGAAGGAATAGGGAGCAGGTTGATTTTGCTGCTGAGTTGTAAACAGTGTCTTTTCCATGCAGGAAAGGAGGTGGCTGATAGATGGTACGGTGAAATTAAGAACTACAACTTCCAGCAGCCTGGCTTCAACTCTGGCACTGGTGAGTGACAGGGTTGCCCCAGTTGCCTGGCCCTGGGCAGTGTTGCAGTTGAGTGTCTGATTTTGGAGAGGAACCAACCCTCTGAAAATCAATCATTTCTTCCTGTTTTACCTCTCCCATATTCCTCTGGTTTGACTTTGCCCTAAGGGCAAAACTCTTTCCCCAGTGCGTGTGAGACACACACACACACACACACACACACACACACACTCCCTCCCTCCAAGAGCTCCCAGGCTGATGATGCCTGTCCCACCAGATCCAGGTTCTTCAGCTGACTGGAGTGTGTCATAAGGAGGCTGTGGATTTTATTTTATTAAAGAAGTTTTTTTTCTTTATTGATTTTAGAGAGGAAGGGAGAGGGAGAGAGAGGTAGAAACATTGATGAGAGAGAACGTCAGTTGGCTGCCTCCTGCATGGCCTCCACGGGGGATGTGGCCCACAGCCTGGGCATGTGCTGCGCCCTGACGGGGGATAGAGCTGGCGACCTCTCGGTGCAGGGGTCGACGCTAGCCACTGAGCCGCACCTGTGGGGCGAGGCTGTGGATTTTAACAGCTGCCGAGTGCTTCTCCCAGAAGCGGGGGCTCGGCACCTGAACGGGTCATCTACTTCTAGTCTTGCTGCCCTGCGGTCCAGCCTGCTCCCTAGCACCCGGCCATTCTAAAACCCTCTCTGCCCATGTTGCTCTCCTGATTAAACTGCCAGTGGCTTCCTGGGCCTTCAGGAAAAGGGCCAAGCTCACTCTTCTCTTGGTTTCAACTCCCTCCTCCCTTCACACCCCACTTCCTTCCTGCCGTGTACCCCATGCCTCCCAGCCTCCCCGGCATTCTTCCTTCACTTTTAAGCTGCAGTCTGTGGTTCAGATAGTCTTAGTAAGCAGAATGCCTGCAGCTAACCTCAGCACCCCACCCCCACTACTGTTTGTGTGAAGTTGGGTCCATGCTCCGTCCTTCCCTGTCCCAGAGGGATAGGGACGGGTGGCGTTTAGATGCAGGGAGGCACTGGCCTTTCTCCTAGGCCTCCACGATGAGCAGTAAATGCCAAACTTACTAAAGTCTCAGGCAACTGCTTGGAGCTCTGGGCTCCCTCTGGCCCCTCACTAGCCCCCCAGGCTCCTGTCTTTCCTCAGAACCAACTCAGATCCACCTTGAGCAGCCCAGGATAGGTTGGAAGGGGCTGTGAGTTTCTCTGACCAGAAGGCACCAGAAAAATGGAAAAAGGGATTCCCTACCCACCCTATCCCTCTACCCAACCCCATCCCACCCATGGGTGGAGCCACCTAAGGCCTCCCAACCTCTGGAGGGTTCTTCAGAAACAGGAAGTGACATGTTCTCAGAACGAGCCGCTGTTTCCTGTGGTTTTCGGCTCACCCTTTCGGGCAGGGGATCTCGCAACCGTGGGCAGGGCTATGGGGCAGGGCTATGGGGCAGGGCTATGGGGCAGGGCAAGAAACGTCCCCTGAGGTGCTTCTTCCTCAGCACTCAAGCCTGGGATGAGGAGGCTGCTGCCAGGGCCCCGAGGGAGAATTGATGGTTCTGTGGCAATTAAATTCGATTTGTGAAGGAGGAATACTGGCAACTTCCTTCCAGAGATTAAGGATGTGTAGGCAGAACCTGGTGTGCTTTTCCTAAAGATCGGTGTCTAGAAGACCTTTGATTTTATAGTGTCTGGATCTGTTTTTGCCATGAGCAAGACTCACGGGCAATTGGACATGTGTCCGAGCAAGTTATGAGTTTTGCTCCTGTGTGTAGGCCACTTGACCGTTACAAAGCACCTCCCCATCCACGGACACGTAAGCCTTGCAACACCCTTTGGAGGTAGGGCTTCATTGCACTAGTTTTGCAGAGGGGGACACTGAGCCCCTGGAAGGGGGAGAGACTTCTTTATACCTTCTGTCCTCAATCTGATGCTCTTTCCATGGCCCCTGCTCCAAGGCAGAAATCTTGCAAGCGTCAGAGCTAGGAACGGGACTCAGCTTTCCATGATCACTGACCACCTGGCTCACCCGTTGCCCCATACCCCCCACCCCTAAAGAGGAAAACCCCGGAGCAAGTAGCTCCGAGGCCATACCAAGTGCCAGTAGGCAGTGCCTGGGGACGGACAGAGCCTGATCCTAAGACGGGAGCACAGATTTGGGTGGAGTTATAATCAGGGCTTGCAAGACCCTTAAAGATCTGCAGGCCTATCTCTCCACCTCAGTCTCCCCAGCACTGCACCACTGTTCTGGGATCCCCTGATCCGAGTTCATGTTGCAGGTGAAAGGGCCTTTGAAATATCCTGTAATCTCTGCCCGCTCACCCCAGTCCTGGCAGCATCGGGGGTGAAGAACACAATTCTTTGCTATGTGCTGAGTGGGGGGAAATGTTTTCTTGCAATTCGTTTGTTGTATTCTATTTGAATGAGCAGGTTTGTTCATTTATGTGTTCTGAATTAGTAATACTTTTACATGACATGAATTTTGTAAGCTGTATAAGGTGAAAAGTCTTCCTTCCATCCCTGGTCTCTGGCACTTTTCCTCCCAACTGGTGATACCAGTTCCTTGTGCATCACTGTAGGGTTCTGAGTCTAAACCAGCATTTGGGTAAATATGTTTGTTTTTCTTTACACTCTGGTGTCAGATATATGATCTGTTTTGCACTGGCTTCCTTTACACAGCAGATTGGCAGAGATTGTTCCACATCAATACAAAAAGAGTGTTCTCATTCTTTCTCAGTCTTGTACATTATTCCCTTGCAAACATACACTGTAACTTATTTAATGTGGCTTTCAAATGTATATTTTAGGAAGTTTGGGTCTGTAGCAGGAAAGAGGATGTGATCCATTTGGGAGCAAAAGAAAAAGAAAAAAGGAAGCTGTTAGTAGGTTAGGGCTAGAAACCAGTATGTATCTGATGGTTGCTGAGGAAGTCGTGTCCTTTCCTTCATCTGTGAATACCATACTCAGTCATCTCTGTGCGGACAGAACCCTCCCCGCCATCAGAAGGATGACAGTCTCATCTGTGTGGGAAAGGCTCCCACAGGCACTCGTGCTGCTGAAGCTCATACTGTGTCTGTAAGCACTTGGCAACCAGTGGATAAACAGCAGCTCTTTCTCTTTTTCTGGGTGACAGAGAGAGTGGGTGGGTCAATGGCCAAAGCATGTGTCTTTTGAGAGAAAAGGCTTGTATGAAAAAGGACTCGAGCCTTAATGAAAAGACAGCCCATAGAAGCAGTGACACCTGGCCAAGCTGCCCAAGCCTGGAGCTGTGACTCAGACCTAAGGACCAGAGTGAATCGGCAAGGAGTGTGTCTCCTCTATTTGGAGGTGAAAATCAGAGTTTTTTGGGCAATGGTTAAGGATTAGTGGAAAAGATGCATAATTATACTTAATGTTTGTTTTCTTTTAGTTCTTGCTTTGATTGTATCACATTAACTCTATTGATTAGTGTTTAGTTATTTTCAGAAAGAAAATCATTTTTAGATGTAGACAAATAAATAAACTATGCCTAAATTTAAGAATTATAAAAATTCTCAGGCGGTGTGGCGCACTGGTTGAGTGTCAACCCATGCACCAAGAGGTCACCAGTTCAATTCCCAGTCAGGGCACATGCCCAGGTTGTGGGCCAGATCCCCAGTGGGGGGCGTACAGGAAGTGGCCAGTCGATGTTCTCTCTCATCGATGTTTCCATCTCTCTCTCCCTCTCCCTTCCTCTCTCTCTAAAATCAATAAAGAAAAAACTATTAAAAAAAAAATTATAAAAATGGAGTTCAGCTGTAGGGGGAAAAACACAACTTAATCAACAAACATTTATTCAGTCCTTACTATATCTGATACACATGGGAGATATCAACATTGCCTCTTCCCTGAAGGATTGGAAAAGTGTGGATACCAGTCTCTTTCTCTCTCTCTCTCTCTTACTTTCTTGCTTTAATTTTGTGGTAAATATACTTAACAGAAAATTTACTATATTAACCACTTATTTTATTTTATTTTATTTTATTTATTCTTTATCCTTACCCGAGGACACTTTTGCGTTTATCTTTGGATAGAGTGGGAAGGAGAGAGGGAGGAAGAGAGAGAGAGAAACACCGATGTGAGAGAGACACATCTAGTGGCTGCCACCCTCACAGCCCCAACTGGGGCGGGGGACAAACTGCAACTGAGGTACATGCCCTTAGCAGGAACCAAACCCAGGTCGCTCTGGTCCACAGGCCAATGCTCTAACCGCTGAGCCAAACCAGCCAGGGCTATATTAACCACTTTTAAGTGTATAGCTCAGTGGGACTAAGTACATTTACATTGTTGTGCAACCATCACTACTCTTCATCTCCAGAACTTTTTCATCATTTCATATTGAAATTCTGAACCCATTAAACAATAACTCCCTACCCCCCACTTCAAGCCCTAATAACTATTTTCTGTCTCTATGAATTTGACTGTTCTAGGAACCTTATTTAAGTGGAATCATGCCATATTTGTCCTTTTGTGTTTAACTTATTTCACTCAGCACAATGTCCTCAAGTTCATCCATATTGTAGCATGTTAGAATTTCATTCCTTTTTAAGACCGAATAATATTCCATTGTCTACACATACAACATTTTGTTTATCCACTTACCCACTGGTGGACATTGAGGTTTTTGCCCCTTATGTCTATTGTGAATAATGCAGGTATGTACATTGGTGTACAAATACCTAAGTCCCTGCTTTTAATTCTTCTGGGCATATACTTAGAAGTGGAATATGCAGGATCATATGATAATTCCACAGTTCACTCCTTGAGGAACTGCCATGCTGTCTTCCATAGCAGCTGCACCACTTACATTCCCATAAGCAATGCATACATTTTCTAATTTCTCTACATCCTCACCAAAATGTTTCCTTAAAAAAAAAAAATTCATCCTAATGGGTATGAAGTAGTTGCCCTCCTTCTTTCTTAACCACCTGTGAGAAAAAACGGGAGAGATGAGCTACCGATCTTTACTCCTAGGAGATAAGAAGAATTTATGGTCATCAAGTAAAGACCACCTTACAGCATCAATTCTTTGACCCCAAAATGGGAGGGAATTAGGAAGTTAAGCCATGTTAGCAGCTTGAAAGGATCAATGAAGCAGGCGGCCTACGTGGGAGACCAATACTGAGAAGATCCAGCAGGCCACAGAAGTGTCTGGATGGTCAGGCAGTAGCTTGAGAAAGAACTGGCTGTTTGGCTTGGAGCAGAGAGAATTGAAGGAGGCTCAACATTGTTAGGGTCTCAAAGAGCTCAAAACACAGAAGGCCTGCATTTTCAGTGAGAGCAGAACTTGACTCCAGGAGGGTTCTCTCAAATGCCTTCATTCATTCACTCATTCAGTGAAAGTTTATTTTACACTTTGCATGTGCAGGCTATGCCAGAGTACTGGGTATACTGTGGTGAATAAAACAATTTTATCTCTACCCATATGGGGCTCATAGCCTTGTGAAGGAGCCAAGCAATAAGCAAGTAGTCAAATCTATCATTGCAAATGGTAAGAATGTTATGAAGGGGGGAAAAGGTGTGATAAGGAGGGAGGTGCTCAGGAAAACAAAGAGGCTGTAAAATGTATCTCTGAAAAGTGACATCAAGGCTGAGGCCTAAGGGACAAGATATTGATCATCAGAACTGTATTCCATGCGTGTTGTGTGCAGAGTCTCTGCGCTGGTAAATGACCTGGGGTGTTCAAGGAATGGAAAAGAGGCCACTGGGCCAAAGCATTCACTTTTGTTCTAGGTGCAATTGGAAACAATAGAAGGATTTTTAAGCAGGGAAGCAACTTAAGTCTCAAAATGATCACTCTGTATACTTAAGCAGAAATTGAATTGGAGGAGACAACAGTGGAAGCTGGAGAACCACCCAGGGGGCTATTGCAATGGCCCAAGTGAGAAAAGTTTGTGGTTGGGAGCAACGTTTTGGGAGTGGATGGGCTTCAGATGTATTTTACAGTTAGATTTGTGAGGATTGAATGATGGGTTGTTGTGGGGAAATGAGGTAGGGGAGGAATGCAGACCTGCGCTAGGATCGCGTGCTTAGAAGTGCTGTTAAAGGAAATGGGAAGGTAGGGAGAGGGATAACTTTGGGCAGACCAAAGTCAAGAATGAGGTTAAATTTCAGATGCCTGTGAGTCATCCAAGTGGAAATGTCAAGTAGATGTGTTTGGAACACAGAGGAGAGAGTTGGGCTGGAGAAATAAATTAGGAGCCAGGGGAAAATGAAATTGCCTAAGGAGCGCAGCAAGAAAAGAGAGCCCAGATTTGAGCCTGGAGACATGCAGGGCCTCCAATGTTTACAAGTGAGATCGAGAGGAAGAGGTAGAGGCAGTGAGATGGGAGGAATCATGGAAACCAAGAGGGGAGTGCTCTGAAAAGGAGAGGAGTCAACCCTATTAAATGTTCCTGGGATGTCGAGTAAGATGAGTAAAAAAAAAGACCATTGGGGAGGAACATGGAGATCGTTGGTGACTTTGAAGAGTGCAGTTCGGGGGATGGTTGGAGGCAGGTGTGAGTAGGGTGGCATCCTAATTGTTGGGAAGACCATGAATCCTTTGGGCATTGAAAAGTGGTCAGGTGAGTAGAGTCAGCGTGGTGACTGAGGGGATCTGATGCTATAGAAAATCAGGCAGTTGGTATGTTCTGGGTCTCCTTTCTCTGACTGGGGTGTGTGAAGATAAGCTTCCTTGAGCCTGGCAAGATGGTGCAGGAGCTCAAACATCTCTTGAAGCATCCTTCTCCAGGCTTTGCTCACTAACCTGTGTCCCTCTCCCCTTGCCTGCTCCCCTACAGGACACTTCACGGCCATGATATGGAAGAATACAAAGAAGATGGGAGTGGGGAAGGCGTCTGCAAGTGACGGGTCCTCCTTTGTGGTGGCTAGATACTTTCCAGCAGGGAATGTCATCAACCAGGGTTTCTTTGAAGAAAATGTCCTGCCTCCAAAGAAGTAACTTGCCAAATGTTATGGGCAGGTGGCAGACTTGGAACATGGATATGAAGTGCCTAGAACAACAAAAGCTCAGCTGTGTGTCTGTCTTTGTGGGTGTATGTGCTTGTGGGTGTGATGCATATGCATGTCTCTTGCACACACCCTTGGATATACAGTTTTGCATGAACTCATTCTTATCAAAGGAATAAGCCAATGAAGCCTTTACTCTGATGATTAGACCACAATTATTTGGACTCTGGGAAAAATCCATTTTTAAACGTTTTTGTTATTTTTAAAGCAAACTTCTTTTGTACCTTTCTTACTTATAATATTATCCCTGGACTTTTTGAAATGTCTGTGATGATGTCATTTCCTGTGATCCTCATGCATTGTTATCTACTCGTGGTAGATATTTAAGAATATTAAACCCTCATTTAAATGTGATATAAAACACAGCCTTAAACACATAAATATAAAGCAGCTTCCATCAGAAACATGGTGCAGGCAGGGGTTCCATTTCACAGAATTACTGAGATTTCTCAATTGTGAGACATGAAGTCATCTTCATGCCTTCTGGAATTCTCTAACAGGATTGCCAAAGAACGAATGGAGAAAAAGCTTCACTTCCTTGCATTTTTCTGCCTTTAAATAGCAAAGTATTGCTGCCACCACCACCCCTTGACCCCTCCCCATCTTTTTTTCTTAAAACCCCCTGGCTTTTCATAGCTCAATATGTACCCCTTGATTTCTGGGGAGCTGGTCTAGGCCTGAAACTCACCCCTCCCCCAACTTTACTAGGTGGCCCAGGGCCTATTGTGAGAGAAAGGCCCTTACACTGCCTGGGCTCTTGGCCAAGCGGCCTTGGATGGATGAAGTCAGTGTTCGGGTGAGGGTGAGCTCACTCAGGGCCCCCAGAGGAAACCCTCCAGCCCCTGCTCTCCCAGACACAGGGCGGGAGACCAGGCTGTTCCTGGCAGCTGTGGCTGCAGCTGTGCGGCTGCTCCCTCCTGGAATGTGTGACAGGCCCAAATGTTCCTGCGAGATATCCATGCGGGGGCTTAGAGTCACTCATTTGGTCCAGTGTTTTGCCTCAAACTATACAAAGTTCCTCTGAATAACAATTTCACATGGTCCATGTGGGAGGGACCAACCCAGATGCCAAGCTGAGTGTCCCTGAAATCATGGCATCTCTAGGTGGTACGATAGGGGCAAGAATTAGGGGGTTGCCTGCTTAAAGACCAGTCTGAGCAGGCCAGCCTTTGAAACATGTTTCCTAAAGGTCTGTGTTGCACTGTGAACATAATCTCATGCTGTGCCCTTCATGTCACCCAGGAATATTGACTGAGAGAACAATAAAATCTTTTTCTTTTGTGTAATATTATCCTCCCGTGACTCATACCCGATTCTGAATCAGTGACTAGGGTAATCCACAACTCTGAGTTCCTGTAACTGAAGCTTCTGAATACCTCCCACCTCCCCCCAGTAGACTGTGCTCCTAAGGCAACCTTGTTGTGAACCACGTGACCTACAATCACACAGCTGATTGGACTAGAGTAGACATGTGATCCAAGAGCTGCCAATCTCTGGGCTGGCTGTGGACCAGGAATTTGGTAACAAATATGGAGATAATTTACCAGTAGAACTGAAAAAATAAGGATGCCATGAGTTTGAATTGGGGCCATGGCAAGCCAAAGTTATGTGCAAGCCAAAGTTATGTGCAAGCCAAATATGTGTTGGAAATGCTGTATGTAGAAATGAGAAAGCTAGTTTTTAAAGGTACAAAAGAGATAGAGAAACTGAAAGACTGTTCCTAAGTTTTCTGTTACTAGGTCAAATATGTGTATCTTCAAACATACCTCATTTTCTTCAGGGCTTCCCAACAAACTGAGGTGTCAACTAATGGTCCCCAGAAAGTTAAATATTAGGGTTCCTTGCCTGGCTGGTGTGGCTCAGTGGATTGAGTGTCATCCCATGGACTGAGAGGTCCCAGTTCGATTCTGGGTCAGGGCACATGCCTGGGTTGTGGGCTCGATCCCCAGTAGGGGCCTGCAGGAGGCAGCCAATCGATGTTTCTCTCTCTTCCACTCTAAAAAATAAATAAAAACAACAAAATATTAGGGTTCCCTTCTCTAGGAAGTCTTCGTGAACAGAAAAGGCTGAGCTAGGCAGGAAGCTTAGGATGGATAAAGGCCTTGGGCTGAGGTCCTTTTCAGGCCACACCTGGGCAGCCACCATGAGCAACAGGGACTCAATGGCCAGTTATTGAACTTCCTAGTGGCTCTAAGAAACACCATCCGCCCAGTACATACACATCTGTAACCAGGTGTGGATGCTGGCATGCAGCCAGCCTCTTCGGGCTGGAAGTTGGCTGGAGTAAGGAAAAAGCTGACCAGAGGAGCTTTCCAGACTGAAGAAAAGCCAGACAACAAAGCTGGCTGAGCAAGTGGGCACCAACCTCACGTCTCCATTGGATTTCTTAAAGATAACAACTCCCACACGTTCAACAAAAGCAGAAGAGAAGCCAGATTCCAGCTCTTTTTGTAGCCAGAGGGCAGCCGAAGGAGTCAGGAACCCTGGCTCCAAGCCTAGCTTTGTGCACTCTGAATTCATCAAGGCCCGAATCCTCGCTGGGCCCCAACCTGTCCAGCTGGACAAGGTCTGGGACATGGAATTCGGAATTGGGTCCTTTCAGGTCTCCATGACACACCCCTAGGCCCAACTTTCTCAAATGGATGGAAGCACCTGATGAGAGATCTTCCTGCCCTGGTGTTCAGCGGGCCTGAAATAAAAGCAAAAGGGCACAACCACCTCCTCCACCAAAATGCCCCCAAGGCTGCAAGGTATGGGGGCAAAGGAGCAGGTGAATCAGCAGGACCTGACCCACCCAAACCCTGCTCCTAGGTGCAAATGCCCCGGGGTGAGGTCTGCCAGCCTCTCACAAGGGCAGGCTTGGAGGCCGAGGGGAGTGAGAGGCCTTCTCCTCCTCCAGAGTCTCGATCTCGGGAGATCCAGGCTGGAGAAATAACTAGAGCTCAGTTATTCTTACAGGGAGAGAACAGAGCCAGGAGGAACTCACTTAAGGCACACACAGCTCATCTGTGCCTTCTTCCCTTCCTGAAACAGAAGTTCTCAGCCTTGTGCAGACAGGAATTTCGAGACTAAATGCTTCTATCACAGGCATCCAAGTGAACAAATTCAGCATTAAAAGGTAGGCACTTTTAAATAATTTTCAAATTATCAAATGTCAAAATAAAGAAAAAGCCAGGTCTGGAATGAAAAGATGAAGGAGAGACAGTGAATGATAACTTGACTAAGCCAGGGTAACAAAGAGCTGACCGCTGACCTGGTCACATTCCCAAGGCTTCAGGAGACACTGAGCTTTCCTGTGGGGGGAGGGGAGACGGGCTAAGGACGCGCCGAGGTTCGCGAGTGAGACTTAGGGCCCGGTGGGAGGAGATCCGGGGCGGGGTGCGAGTCCAGGTCCTCTCGGCACCACCTCGCAAGGCCGCTAGGGCCAGCGTGTTGAGCTCCTTCCTGGGATCCCCAAAGGCTGATCGGGTTGGGCCCGCAGGAGGCTCCAGCTGGCACTTATCCCCCTTTGGCGTAGACGCTACGGGCACTCCGGGAGCCCCACACCAGCCCAGAGGGGGGTGCCAAGCTGGCCGGGTCGGGGAGTACCACGCCGGGCGGGCATGGCAGGCGTGCGCTTGGATCTGAGACGGCTCCTCTCTGGCCGCCTGGTCCTGCATACTCTGTCTGGGGCTCGGTACCCCATCTGTAAAGTGGACACGGGGGTGTTTGTGGTGATCGTAAGAGGCCCTGCCATTTGAATTCCAGGGTCGCAGCGGGCGGACATGCCCTGCCACCTCTGCCCTGGGACACGCAGACGCCCAGGCAGCGGAAGAGGGAGAACCCCAGGGGTCTCCACACCCCAGGGAGGGGTGCAGCCGCGGCGGCGCCCCGGGGACTGAGAGCCGGTCGCTTCCGCCCGCTGGTTCCCACACAGGCGGGAGATGACCCTCCAGCCCCACCGTGTGGCCGCAGACGGCTCAAGGAGCCCGCCCGAAGGGACGGCGCACTCCAGACCTCCCAAGTATTCACGAAGGAAGGAGCCAGGCCTGCCAGTGCTTGGCGAGCTAACGTCATATCAATAAAATAACGACAGCTAGCATTTATTGAACGTTTGCTACAAGCCAAACACCGTGCTTAACACACTCCCATTTAAATGAGTTTCTCATTGAAACTGTTAATACTCTTTTCAGCAGGTACTGTTTCCCTTCTCACAGATGAAGAAACGGAGGATTAAAGAGAAGGGGCAACTTGATGGAGAGAGCTGACCGACCCACTTCAGACCCCAACATTTTAGAACTAGAGACTTGGAAACGTGGGCAAATGTCCCAGCTTGCTGTGGAACTGAAATAATCAGGGCTTCAGAGCCGCTGCCCACCCCACCCCACCCCCTGGGGGTGGGGGGCTGGCTAATTCTTGCATCCAGGGAGTGACCTCCATCTCTTCTTCTATTTAAAAAAATTTTTTTCTTTATTGATTTTAGAGGGAGAGGAAGAGAGAGACAGAAACATCAATGAGAGAGAACATCGATTGGCTGCCTCCTGCATGCCCCCCACTGGGGATCCAGCCCACATCCTGGCATGTGCTCCGGCAGATCTGGAATTGAACCTGCAATCTCTTGGTGCGTGGGTCTTCACCCAGCCACTGAGCCACAGCAGCCGGGCTCTTCCTCTATTTTAAAGAATGGTATCAGAGGCCACAAAGGTCAGAAGCCAAAGGACAGAGCTTTTCTTCTCTGATGTCCAGGAGCCTTGGTAGAGAAAGGTTCTTCAAGGCCTAAGAACCAGGGACTGGGGAAAGCTGAGCAGTTAGGAGCTTCCTGGAAGAGTCGAAAGAGTCCTAAGTTACAGAGCTTTGGGTTCCAGGTCCTGCTCTGCTTCCAACTGGCTATGTAATCTTGGGCAAGTCCCCTTTCTTCTCTGGGCCTCAGTTTCCCTCCTGTACAATGGGAAGATTCTTCCATCTAGATTCTAGATGATCTAATAATAATTCTTTTCCTTCCCCCAACCTCTCTTATCCCTCCCTGCACCATCCCCACCCAAATTGGCTCTGACCTTCCAGAAGAGCCTTAAACTGAGATTTGAAGGTCCCAGTTAGGAGTTGAAACCCACTTCTGGGTTTCCTCCTGAGCTCTGGGTCCTGGGATTAGGTCCCACTAGGGTATCTGGTCTTGGCAGGTTGGAGCCATAGAGGGGAGAAAGTCCCTGTGCCTTTGAGAAAGGCCTCAGGGGGGCCTGCATTGTGATGACCTTATCTGCTCTATGACATCACCCTCTCTCCCACACCCACTCCTCCCTGATCATCTGCTCTGCAAACAACCATCAATTTGAATCCCAAAGGCCTAAGAAAGTCTGTTCTCCAGTACCTGCTGCTGATCTTCTGTCTCAGCCAGCAAGAAGCACCATGAAATTGGAATTCACTGAGAAAAACTACAACAGCTTCGTGCTGCAAAACCTGAACAAACAGAGGAAACGCAAAGAGTACTGGGACATGGCTCTGACTGTGGATCACCATGTCTTCTTTGCACATCAAAATGTGCTGGCTGCTGTCTCTCCACTGGTGAAGAGCCTCATCTCCAGCGACGACATGAAGACCACCAATGAACTCTTTATCACCATTGATCCCAACTACCTGAGTCCAGCCACAGTGGAGCAACTCCTGGACTACTTCTACAGTGGCAAGGTGGTGATCTCAGAGCAGAACGTGGAGGAACTCCTTCGTGGGGCCCAGTATTTCAACACGCCACGCCTTCGAATCCATTGCAGTGACTTTCTGATTAAGTCCATCCGCCGTGCCAACTGCTTGCACTACCTCTTCTTGGCTGAGTTGTTTGAGCTCAAAGAGGTATCAGACTTGGCCTATTCTGGCATTCGTGACAACTTCCACTACTGGGCTAGTCCTGAGGGCTCCGTGCACTTCATGCGCTGTCCACCTATCATCTTTGGCCGTCTGCTTCGAGATGAAAACTTGCATGTGCTCAACGAGGACCAAGCCCTCAGTGCACTCATCAATTGGGTATACTTCCGAAAGGATGAGCGGGAGAAGTATTTCAAGAAGTTCTTCATGTACATCAATCTTAATGCTGTCTCCAACAAGACACTGACATTTGCCAGCAACAAGTTGATGGGCATGGAGAACAGCTCAGCCCATGCCACCATGATTGAGAGTGTCCTTGTAGACCGCAAGCAGGAGAAGCCATGCAGCCTACTGAGCTACCAGCGGAAAGGGGCCCTGCTTGATTCAGTGGTCATCCTAGGTGGCCAAAAGGCCCAGGGCA